AATGAAGCCGCGATTTAAATAATTGCGGCTTCATTTAAATTTAAATGGCTGCCATGCTGAGCCAACAAACAGCTGATCGGCAGAGCGGGGCAGAGCGGGGCAGCATGCCAACCTGAATGCCTCATAGGATGAGGTTTACCAGGGAGGTCGATAAGGGGCTTTCATGTCGACAGGGGAGCGTCCAGATTGCCCCGATATGCCGACAAACAGCTGATCGGCAGAGCGGGGCAGCCATTTAAATTTAAATGAAGCTGCTATTATTTAAATCGTGGCTTCATTTCCCTTTGCCAAACAAATAAATTTACATGGCTCCGTTGACAGAGCCATGTAGTTTAGACGTACCCTTTGTGATTACCTGTTGTGTTCCCTCCCTCTGTGGCATCTGGTATTGCCCACTGTCGGAAGATAGGATACTGGACCTTTGGTCTGATCCAGTATGGTTGTTCTTATGTTCTTAACAGGACCATTTGATGGAAACAATTAGGAAGAATCTCTGAGAGATTTCATGTCTGTGGTTCTCAGGCCTTGCACTGAAATACCTTCAATTTCTTGTGCTGGAATGCCTTCTTCAAAATATTTCTGAGATTTCCACTAATAATTGCTGATCACTCTATAACCTTTTGCAAATGTGCCCTTTTAGAAAACAATTTTGCAGTTGCTTTCTGGCAGTCAGTTGCTGAATATACATTGTGTACTTGTTATTTCTCTCAGGTAACGGGAAGAGAGGAAAATTTTATAAACTGAATATGGAGGTTTATATTGTTATCATTTTTAAAAACTTCAGAACTGAGAAACAGTGGAACCAAGTGTGATATGCTATTTTCCTTTGGCTTGTCAGTGTTCCACATGCTGTGGTGAAGATGTACAGTATATTATGGTATAACAGGAATAGCTCATCAGTGTATATTCTGAAAACACCATGCTAAGGAAGACATATTATGTAATTGATTGAAAGAGACAACGTAGATGGTGTAGTATCTTTTATTGGACCAACTTGGGTTGCTAGTATACTTTTGACCAACTCGGAGTTCTTAACAAGACACTTGCACCTTCGACCAACAAAAAATGGTCCAATAAAAATATTACCTTACTTACCTTGTCTGTCTTAGTTCCTGGGTCCAGCATGGCTACAACACTACAAATGTTAAAATTATTGTCTGTCAAAATAGTCTTTTCAGATGGGACAGGTAGAACAGATTACATTTAATGCATTTATGTTTTAGAAGTCCCTTTCTTCTCCTGAAAATGTTAACAATACACTTCAAACCTTTCATTTTCACCAATTTATTCCCTTTTGTCATATTATCTCCAATTTCCCTTGATTAGGACACTATCCCGTAGCCTCCCAAAAAGAGCTGAGTAGATTATTTACACTGTCTTTAATGAATATTCAAACATATTATGAGAAAGTCAGGTGCTGTCAAGGAAAAAAGGCACAGAATGAGAATAGTGAGGTTACTGAAAAGCACTTACGTATATGAATAATTTTGTTAATGTAATCTAGTTCCATTGAACTCAGACAAAACCACAAAAATGTCATGAGTGTGACTTGTCTTAATTGCTGCAAACCCAGTGATGGAATATGCATATTGTGAATTACATCTGTGGCTTTTTGAATTCACTATAATGAATGGAGATACTAGGCTATGGCTTTATTTAAAAGCACCAGTTCAACATAGAATAGTCCTATGGCTATCTTGATACTTGATGTAACTGCACTTTATTTAGTAGAGTGGAACCATAGGTGAGTTTTGCTCCTCTTTGTTAGAATGATATTCCTGGGGCAATTTTGTACCACTGCGCAGTGCAGAATTTTGCAGAAATTAATGTTGTGCATGCAGATTTTTTTTCTCCACAGAAATGGGCTACAGTACTGCCAGAGACCACTAGGGGCTACTGGTCTCAGCAGAACCCAGCTTGCACATAAAAGACATTTCTGAGGGGGAGGAAAAGG